TCTAAGCCAACAACCGTTGTTCTGATGTAGGGCGGATCCGTTGCTCAATCGGCTGAGTAAATGGTGGATCGCGTGCAGTGTCATTTCTGCGTTGTGTCCGAAGACTATGTCAAGGAATATGCGGAGATTTCAAATCTCACCCCACACGCGTCGTTGATGGATCTGTTGGCGTATCTCCAGGTAGATATCTCGTGGCCAACAATCAACCGATAATTCACTGTGTACTCGGCATCGATGACATCGGAACAGTCCTCTTGCAAACTGGGGGTTCGCAGTGGCTGCGCAACAATCGAATCTGGCGAGGTTGCTGTTGCCCTCGAGGAGGTTCCTATTCAGCCACCACGGAGCGGCAACAAACACTAAAGCCAATGTGGCGCATCACTCCAGACTGACGCTTTTGGCCTATGCTAAAACTCTTGGCAGATGCTCGTTTGTGTTGTTCGTTGATGTTGCAACTGCGCTTGACGGGGTCATCCGGAACATGTGCATGGGATTCCTCCAGGACGTGCCTGACGCCGAGTGGATCCTTGAGTACATTGCGAAGTACGGGCATGCCTTTCAACAAATGGGGACGCCAAGGAGGCTTACTCGCCTTGTTGTTGTGCGCCACACAAAGTCTTGGTTCCAGGCTGACGGGGCCACCAGCTCTGCCTATACAAACTAGCGGCCACCAGGGGTACACATTGGGCGGGCCAGTGTTCAATTGTTGTGATGATCTCGGGCTCCATCAGTTTGTGCAGGTGTTGTGCGATGCTGGCATTCACCACAAGGGCGAAGAGATGTGCCCACCCAGTGTGGGAGACCACTGCCACTCCAAGAGTGGATGATGAAGGCGGAGGGGAGGAGGACGAGGACGTGCGTGATGATGCCTCGTTGGTGATCTCGGCATCGTGCTCCGTGCTTCTTCGCCTCGTGCCATGATGTGTGCCATCAATGTAATACAGTGGGGGCGTTGAACAAGGAACCTTTAGATAAGGAATCCAGGGTCTGGAAGCTGGTGGAACTCGAATCGTGGATCGGCCATGGATATCATCGACGCCCTCATCAGACAAGGAACCCTGGGTCTAAAGCCTCCTGGGCACATTCCTTAACGAACGCCCCAACCGTATCGTGTGCTGCTGTTCGCATGCTCGCCAGGCATTGGATGGTGATCAACTTCAATGAGGGGAAGACAGAAGGCATATTTCTGCGTGCCGATTGTGGACCAGTCTTGCCCATACCTGGATCCAATGACGTCGTGCATCTTGCAGGTGTCTTGGCAGTGAGGTCGAGGCGAAAGGCGGCAACTTCGCTTACGCCAAGGAGCGTAGCAATACGGCAATTGATGCACATGTGCCGATCTGTAGACGCATATGGTGATGTAAAGAGCTTGATCTGACTGTGAAGCGGTCACTCCGTGATAGTCTTGTTTTCTCTTTGTTGTTCTTCAATTCGAATTCGCGGTGATAGCAATGTGCGCGAGTTGATGGCCACGACCACAACCTGCATGCTCGCTCACAGTCGACTAGTCGAGGCCTTTCTGTTCAATGGCAGCGAGAGATCCCACCCTTGCGTGCGCAGTCGGTTCGGCATTCCTTCGATCGATTGCGAACTGATGTCGCGTCGGCTCAAGTACAGTGGGGGCCCGACCACAAGAAACCTTTCACAAGAAACCCAACCCTGAGACCCCAGGACGCCCGTTGAATTTTGGTGTGGGAACGCCACGCTTCCCATCGCAAAGCCATCGAAACCCAAGAAACCCAGGGCACCCTGGAGGCACGCAGGGTGTCTCTAATTGTTCCTGGCCCGCTAGTGGCCAGGAAGAGGCCCAGGATAGAACAATTAGAAATGAAAGGATCTTGGCCCCCCAAAAATCAAAGAACTTTCGTATACTTAGACAGGAACAATGTGTACTTGGGGCAGGCTCGAAGAGGTCACCCTCGCACGCTCTGAAGGCCATGCTGCCGCTTCGCGACGGAGCCGGCCGGCCGCTTCTCCCCTGGGCACAGCAGGCGGCCAAGAAGGACTTGACAGCGTCGTGCGAAGCGGCTGGCTGCGTCAGGAAGGTGCTGCCCCCTCCTGATCTGCGCCCTGATGGGACGCTCAAAGACGTACTAGTACTACATGTCCACCTTGGAGGCGCGCGTCCGACCCGAACATATAGTACACTCATCTTGTAGTATATCATTTCTCCAGCGGTGTGGCCAGAAAGCGCCCGCCACGACGCATATACCATAAGATTTCTCGGTGCGCGCGTCGCCCCTGGGGGGGCGACGCACATATAGTATAAGTATGTTGGGGTGACGCCGACCTGAGGCGTGGCAGGCGTCTCTGCGCGACCGCGCCAGAGAATGTGCCTCCATCGTCCCGCGGCTTGTCGTCACGGACTGTCTGCGCCAGTCGGCGTGCCGGAGAATTCACGCATCCACCAGTTGCCCCGTTCTTTTGCTCGCACTGCGGTAATAGTGTCCAGGACCAGACAATCTGTTTTAACTGATACGCGTGTCAAGCATGGCGTGAGACATCTCATTGCGTTGGCCTTGCAGACCTGCTGCAGCGGATTTCTGCGTGGATTTTTGCCCGAAGCGGCGAGCGAAAAACAAAGTGAATTTCGCGTGGATTATGTTTGGTCTTCATCTCTGGCCAAAAACAAATCCGCACGAAATTCACCTCGAAATCCGGAACGAAATTCTCCAGGACACCCCGGGCCCACCCTATCGTATTCCGAACGAAATCCGCTGTGCGATGCTGGCGCCGTGGGAAATATCATGCGTATGTATGCTGAACACGATTGTAAGTGTCACGCGTGCCAGCAGGAACAGCATGGAGAGGGAGGAGGACGAGCACACAGGAGGGAGGATGGAGGGTCTCAAGTCTCAAGCATTCCCCAAATGTATCCTCAACGGCTACCGTGAGCTGTGAAGGCAACTTGCACCATATCACCCATCATTGTCCAGAAGGAAAGATACCTGCGGGGATGCTGGGGCGCCCGCCGGGGCTAAACCAAAGGCTTCTGGCCAACTCAGCACCGGAAAGAGCGAGCTCGCCCAGTGCAGGCTGGAAGCAAGATGAGCAGCTGAAGCATTCGATTGCTTCACGAGCGTAGAGGGTGTCTGATAAGCGTACCTACGCGACAAGAGACAAGTTCTGGTGCCAGATGGGCAAACCATACTCACATCTTGGTCGACAGGCTGGGAGGCCTGTACACTGGACAGCGGGGAAGCGGAGGGCGACCCACGACAAGGGGGCAGACTGAACAAGGCAAATCTTTAGACATCAACGCACCAAGCCAAAACTACCAATGATAGCTACCTGTCAAGACATCAGTCGTGACATGCAGAGCGGAAAGCGTTCTGCGATATGGCCCGATTATCTTGGGGCGGCCTACGCCAGGGAGGCGGAGTGAGCAACATACTGTAACATACTATTCCATGTCTGCTCTCCTGTGCGCCGTCACAGGCATTGTTGATCTCGCCCACGTGAGCCGACCCTCCAAATGGAAGCCAGCTCCACATGGAAGGTCCTCGAAACCCCCATGGAGATGCCACCACGATTCCTGCTCGACAACCTGTATCGCATTATGTCGGAGGATACGGGAGGGAGTGCTCGCAGCCGCGCCTGTGTCGAGGAAACTGGTGTCTGCGCGTGAGAATCCGAGAAACGTGCCCAACATCATGAACATATCCCTCGCATCTGTGACGCTGGCCTCGTCCCCATACAATCAAACTCCGTGATAGAAAATTGACGAATGGGAAACATCCGCAAAGCTGGAGAACGTGCCGTGAATTTCAATTCACGGCGTGTTGGGCTTCACCACGACCAACGTCAGCCGCAGGGCATTTCATATGCGGCCCGTTACTGCGTTCTGCGAACAGGCAGGATGACTCTGCGTCCTGACGTGCTCGAGGTCCCTGCTGACCCGCAACATCGTAGAGGGGTGGTCGCTGGCGACGACCGGGACACCGAAGGACTGGTGTCCCAGGTCGTGATCCCGTTCACGATGATGTGTGCCCGTGTAGTAGAGACGTATGTCCAAGCTCTGCTGTGGCTGTACTTGGAATTGGCTGGACCTGACGACAGATCGGGCCGAGGAGAGCAGCTCGCCAGTAGGGCGTGTGGAGGGACCCATGCCTGTCTCCACGTCCAGACAGAGCGGATTCGTCGTGCGCGTCGGCGTGGAATCGGCAGTAGCGTTCCACGCACATGGCCCAGGTGCTAATGATTTTGTGGAGCTCTGGCGAACGAAAACTTAGGTCCGCAGCGCGTCGGTGGCGAGGCCAGAACACTTGGCCGCTTCCTTGTACTGCCGCAGGCACTGCCGCGGCAATAGATACGGTAGCCCTCGCGTAAACGCGTACAAGGAGCAACCGGAGGATCTACGATGATCGGCATCTCGTACGGAACTTCGGGATCCAGCCAGGTGACGATGTCCGTGTCGTCGTTGCGGGCCCTCTTAGGCTGCTTGTGGCTGGTCGGCATGTCCTCCATATCTGCGTCCTCGCGGCTGATGTTCAGGTCCTCGGGATATCCATGTGGGGTGTCCGCGTCCCCGTGGCTGATGTCGGGGCAGGCCAGTGTATTGCCCTCTTCTGGGCCGTCGTCGGCCGTCGAACTGCAGGGAATCACCACTGTCCGCGTCGAGCTCGCGGCTGGAGGTGGGGGAGGGAAGGAGGGAGGAGGGAGGGAGGTAAAGGATGGAGGAGGGAGGAAGAGGGAGGAGGACGGAGGGAGGAGGGAGAAGGAGGGAGGAGGGAGGGGCGCGACCTCGTGCGGGGAGGGAGGAGGAGAATGCGGCGGGAGGATGATGAGGAGGCATGCTACTGGCGAGGATGAGACTGGATGAGATATGCTGCTGGCGACGTCGACGTTGATGATGATGATGCCGATGATGACGGGGACGCAGGATGACGTCGTCGACGACGATGATGACGACGTCGACGTCGACGACGGTGATGACGATGATGAGGAAGAGGATGAGTTGTGCTGATGGCGACGTCGACGACGATGCTGATGACGATGATGGCGGGGAAGAGCGAGCGAGTGCAACCCACCCGGTCCTTCTGCGGGTAGCGCCGTGCCCGTCTGGGCGGGACGAGCCGGCCTGATCTCCCCGTGCCTTTACGAAGCAGCCGTGGCGGGGCAGTGCAGTTCCCCCCACGAAACGCTCACACGGCGTGCCCGCCCCCGCATCGGCACGCCCCTCATGCGGTCCGTGGCCGCACAGGGAGCTCCTCCGAATGCCCCAGTGGCAGGGTCCGCACGGCGAGCCCGCCCCCGAATCGGCACGCCCATCTTGCGCTCCGTGGCCGCACAGGGAGCTCCACCGAGTGCCCCCGTGGCAGGGCCCACACGGCTTGCCCGCCCCCGTATCGGCACGCCCCTCTTGTGTGCTTCGCGGCCCGCAGGGAGCTCCATCGAAGGCCCCAAAGAGGCAAGGCGCCTGGCGCCCCCGCCCCCAGACTCGGCACACACGCCTCACACGCCTCGTGGCCCCGTCGGGGGCTCCACCGCAGGCCCCAGCGGCGGGGCTCGCGTCGCGCACCCACCCCACGGTTGCCACACCCATCACTGGCAGCGTGTCCCCCGCAGTGAGCTCCACCCACGGCCTCAGTGGGCGCACACGCATGGCGCACCCGCCCCGAATTCGGGGATGGACAGAACTCCCTTTCGTAAAGCGTGGCTTAGTGAAAACAACCTCGGGCCCAACCCTGGCGGGCGCAAGCCTGGAAAATGACGGCCGCGGCGCCCTCTCGAGAACCGAACGCGGACAGTTCACTAATCCGCGTGTCAGGGTGGGGGCTCTGTCCCCCCCCGATTTAGGGAGCTCCACCCACTCGGAAGCCGGACAAGGGCTGCTAAATCCGTGTTGTCTTCGTCCTTCCGGGAAGAAGCCTGTTGACTGTTTCGCGTGCCGCGCCTCATTCCGGGAAGTTGTTTTTTCCTTCCGGGAGGGCCGTTTTAGCAGTCACGGTTTTAGCAGCCCTCGCCCAGCTTCCGACCCACGGCCTCCACGGCGCCCCCACCCTCCACCCGGCACACTTCTCACGAGGATCGGTGCCCCACAGGGCGGTTCAGCGGGGCGCAGACGTTGGGCACCCCCGCGCCCATCTCGGTGCACGCCTCGCCAGGAGCGTGGCCCCTGAGGGAGCTCCACCTGCGGGCCCAGCGGCAGGGCCCGCGTTCTCGTGGCGGCGCACGTGCCCATCTCGGCACACGCCGCATGCGGATCCTGCCCCGCAGGGAACTCCACCGACACTCTCAGCGGGCACGCTGGTTAGCAGCAGGGCCTGGCGCACATGTCAGAAAGTCGCGCGCAAAGGTAATTACAACACCCATATTTGAGCAGGGACCGACCGTCCCGGCATTTCTGTAGTCATACCACGAAATGGTCTTAGAACCCAAAAATGTTCTAAGAACCAAAACAATGCTCTTAGAAGAAAAAACCGATGTGCTAAAACAAGACAGTCCCAGCCAGAATTGATCTAAGAACATTTCGTGGGAACCACAAAAGATTCTTAGGAAATTGTTTGGTGGGGCTATAGGCGAACCAAGACGCTTCGACGCTGCTTGATCGAGAGGGCCATTCTTGGTGGGCGAGGACCAGCTGACAGACCGCTGGCAAGCCGGCGGCCGGCCACGAGCCCCAACCTCGCGGCAAGCTCGCACTCGTCGGCGGAGCCGCGCGACAGGCGCCCACTTGGCACACCGCGTGCCGTCCGGGTCACTTGAGTTTGCTCTAGGGGAACAAAAAGTTACATAAACATAAAAACTCGGAGGTCCGCGCGGATTTCTCGGATCGGCGCTGGGGCCCCCCGGCGGCGCCTCCGGCGCCGCCCCTGGCGCGCTCCGCGCGCCAGGGAGGGGGGTCCAGCGCCGATCCGTGAAATCCGCGCGGACCTCCGAGTTGTTATGCTTATGCCACTTTTTGTTCCCCTATGCTCTGCATGAACTGCAGCACCGCGCGCATCTCCTCCCGACTGGGCTGGTGCATCTCGCGCTCGGGGCAGAGCACCTGCACCGAGTCGCCGAGCGCCTCCTGCAGCAGCCTGCCGGACTCCCCCGTGATGCTGAAGTCCACGACGGGGTCCCCGTCACCGCAGCACATGAGCACTGGAGCGCGCCTTCCGGCCTCGCTCATCCACGATGTCACGTCCTCCCGGTTGACACACCAACCACTGATGGACACGACGCCCCCGAGCGCACGCGGGTACGACAGACCGGCTGACAGCGAAACGGCGCCGCCCTGCGAGAATCCTCCGAGCACGATGCTGCCAGCTGGGACGCCCTTCGCCTCGAGGTCCCGCAGCATGCCGTGCACCTGCTCCACGGAGGTGTCCATGTCTCGCGGGCCCTCTGGCTCCGAGAGATCTACGGGGATGTCCTGGATGTCGAACCACGACGTGCTCCGCATTCCGCTGTTGCAACTCACTGGTCTGGTCGGCGCTGTGGGATGATGGAACTCCACCCCTCGGAGCGAGCCAAAGGCGCCTCTCCACCCATCCCCAGTGTCGCCGAGGCCGTGCAGCCAAACCACCGCCTTGCCGCCTGCGCTCCTGCCGGCGCCAGCGCCTTCGGCTTCCGACGATCGGCGATCGCAGATGTTGCCCATCGACAGCAGGCTCAGAACACGTGCCAGCGGCCGACGCGACCGAAAGCTGCTTGAGCCAAGATGATTTGCCT